AGAACGGCCTTTGAGTTCCACTTTTGTGGAAATACGGCTAAAACCAGCGGCTGAAACCGTCGTAAAAAATTACAATAGGATGGCCGCTCTCAGGTTTCTCTCTGGTACGAATATGGTACCTGATACGCGTATCAAATGCACGATGTAAACTAAGCCGTTGTTAACAAGTTTTTTAAAGGTTTGGTGCAAAATTGACTCAGTGGACCGAGTTAAGTTAGTCCATACGCCATTCTAGAATATAAAGAATATACAAAGACTACTACAGCAAAACATACGCTATGCTTTGCTTTGCTTAAAATCAAAAAATTATGTTGTCGACTGAAGAAGACCGAGAAACGATACTTCCGTGACGACGGTTACGTTGGAACTAAAAAAGTTTTTTAAAATCGTTTTAATCATAACTATGATGATACTACCAGAGAGAAGCCTGAGAGCGGCCAGGTCCATAAGGCCTGTTCTACAATACAGTCGTAAGCCGTAAGTCGTAAGAAATTGACCGATCACAATTAATTATTCTTCTGTAATTTGTCTGTGATTGCTCAATTTCTTACGACTTACAGCTTACGACTGTATTGTAGAACAGGCCTAAAGAGCCGTCTACAATGGAGAGTTGTAGGCCGTAACAGTAAGAAATTGACCAATCACAGACAAAGTACAGAAGAATAATCGATTGTGATTTGTCAATTTCTTACTGTTACGGCCTACAACTCTCCATTGTAGACGGCTCTTAAGAGAATGTGTAATCACTTTTCCGCCCCGTAAACTAGCGCATGTTCACGGGTGGTACACATTGGAACTACGCAGCCAGTCCACGATCGACATGTCGGTATGTCCACAGCGTGCGGTTCTATTCTGTGCTATGTGCACGCGTCCAAATGGTCACCTTCTTCAGGCGTGTGAGTATATTCGCGAGCGTGGATTTGATTTCTTTTAAAATTTAAATTGATCGGTCTCATGATGAGAAGATACGAAAGGAAAACAGAAAAGGACAAAAAAAAAACATTGCAACTTTCTACACAACATAAATGTGATATACAAGAAAAGATGTGATGGTCAAGAAAATAATATTATTTTAGCGAGCAGCATCAGAATTCGTGGAGTGTATCATCTCCTTTTACATCATCATTTGCTGCTTTTCGCTTTATAAATTTTATTCTATTTTCTCAAAAACTACATATATACGTATAAATACAAATTACACAAAAAGACATGTATATTACACAAAGGTGTTTTGCCGGTACACAAATATATACGTCTGAAAAGTTGCAATTCCAAAAAGGATATTTATTACTCTGCTTTATTACAATTCTTTATCAGTGTGTTTTCAATTTTCAAGTTTTATTTTACAATTTTTTATACATTATAATAGAATACAATAGTTTACATATATTACATATAACATACAAAATAATACAATATTATACAATATACATAGTATATATAATCCTACCTATCTATCTTAAACATCTGACATATCTTAAACGTTACTAGCCTCATTAATTAGGATTAAGGCTGCATAACAGCCTTGATCCTAATTGTACATTTTTATTTCTTCTACCTACCTACCTCCGATCTAACATATTTCTTATCTATCCGGCCTAATTTATTTTCTACAAGCGCTTGTAGATACGCATCCCTACCTACACAGATAACTACCTACCTACCTATTTACTTTGGAAAGTTTTAAAATCTATCCAATATTTTACGCGAGAGGCAATTGTTTTAAAATTAAAAAGTAATATTTTAGATATATTTTAGTTTCACGTCCGAGTTTTGTTTTAGATTTTATGATTGAAAGAAGAATTATATCCATCCGATAAAGCCCATCATGTATAATTAGAAGAGATAGAAATATTAATATTTTATAATAGATAGAAAAAATATATATTTCAATATAAATTTTTCAATATATATATTTCAAATATATATTTCAAATATATTTCAAATATATATTTTTGCAAAGATAAAATAGAAAAGAATAAAACTGTAGAGAATAGATATAAAAAACATAAATCTCCAAAAAAAGATTCTATATCGGTTCTTTAAGAGAAATTGTCGTGATATCGAATTTATTATTTTAAAAAACTGATAAAGTACGAGTTGCACTTGATTCACTTACACGAAGTTTTATTTAGTTTGAGATGTACATAAAAGGTCAATTTGTTCGTTTGAACTTCGGTTTTATTGTTTACGTTTGGAATTCGACTTTATAACATATCTAATGTAATTCTTCTTAAGATCGTTATACGCGTGACGATGATTTTAATCGTAACGTCGCAAGAGCAAATCAATCAATTACGTGCCAATTTTATTTGTTGCTAACATAAACCAATGTCCACAATATAACAGTTTTTGTTCTCAAAAAGAGATATAAAATACATCTCAATAAATAAACTACAAATAATAGATTTTGTAATTTAATATAAATAAATAAAATATACTTATAAATTATAAATTTATTATAAATTTTATGACAACTTGTTTTATGACACTCAAATAAAAATTTACAATTAAGTATTGTTTATCACGAATCATGAATATTTTTANAATCATTATCGTATATACGTTAAATCAAAATTAACATTACCGCCCATTTATTTTTCACATAAATACTATTCATATTTTGGTTTGTTTTTGGGAAAATTGCGTGTTTTAAATGTCATAGAAATTATTGAATACTATACACACGCGCGCGCGCGCGCACTCACACACACATACACATACACACACAGAGAGCATACTTCATGTTTCAGGTACAAGTTCAAAAACAGTAAATAGGAAAATAAAACTGCAGGAGAACAAAACGATAAAATCGCAAAAAAAGCCGCCTTTTGTAGTCNGCATTGTCCGTCACCACTTTTCTTTTCCTTTTAAAGGAACAACAACAGAAAAAAAAATTGATAAACAATCCTTGGAGAAACCGCAAATTAAAAGTGGAATTACAAAAGTTACGGAAAGACGATTACAAGCTAAAGCGGCAAAGTCTGTGAAACAAAAAGCGTCTGCAATCTCCGAATCTACTGACGTCAAAAAAGAAAAATCATTCGCCTCACCGAATCACAAATTTAAGCCAGTCATTGTAATATCTGAAGTAAACAAGCAAGATGATGATGTGTCAAATGAAACTCTCTGACACGTCAAAACTTATCTCTAAGTCGACAGTTGTTCAGAAATTGAATTATCGCTTCGATTCCGATTCCAGTCAAGAGATCACATCAAAAATATTAGACAAAACAAACACATGTTTTCAAATAAAGTCGCAAATGACCTCGACGGAACAGTTATCAACGATGTTTACCAACATGAACATTTCGTCAATAGAATCTTCTCTGTCTGTTGTAGAAAAAACAAATTTGTCGGAAAATTTATCACGTCCCGAAGCCGAGTATTTCGAACAACTACTATGTCGAGAAAGAGACGAGCTTCAAAAACTTTGTGAAAAGTGGACGAAAATTCAGAGCGACGATATTAAAGAAGAAGATATTTGTTGCCGAATTAATCAAGCAGTAGGACAAACGACTATGTTAATCGAAGAGAAGTTTAAACAGTTTCACAATATGATCAAACATTCGAAAGGTAGCGGTAGATTACTGATAACTTCTTCGGACTTGCATGGATTATGGGATAGCATGTACATAAAAATTAAGGATTGTTATTCGCGATTTGCATATCTGAAAAAGCTTCGCGCCGCACGTTGGCGGGAAGAGTTATCTCCCGTAAAATCTGTCGAGTCTAGAAACAAAACGACCAAGAAGCAAGCTACGTCGAGAAAGCGAAGATCGCGATCATTACCTTCGACTTGTGGCAACAAAACAACAGCTCAAGATGACAAAACGTGCGAGCAGATTGATAACGCTACTTATATGTGCACATCTTTTGTGACTAATAAGAGGACTACAAGTGTTTTCGAAATAAACAATTCCAAGAAGTGCGACGAAAAAGAATCTGCAAATCAGCAAGAATCTGAAAATAAGACGAGAATGTACACATCAACGCCGTTCGGCGATCGTACAATTAAGTCAAGTAATCTGCACGCTCCATTTGTAACGATGAAAGTAAATCAGTTGTATAAAAAATCAATTCAAATACTTGATGTGACCGATTCGTCTTGCTCTTGGAATACCACGGTAATCGAAAATACAATAATTGAAAAAGACAATACTCTTGCGTTAAATGTAAACAAAATCGAAGAACCGCAAGTGAAAAAAAAAAAATAAATCTTGAAAAAAAAAATCTCTAAAAGAGAAGGAAAGAGAAATTTTCCTTTCCTTAGGAATCCGAACTAAATTGCGCTTAAAGATAAGTTTAAACAAAATAAATAAAAATACGTCGAAGTAAATGTAATACAAATGTAAAACATTATTAGATCAAAACAAATATTTTCTCGACATTAATTCTATTTTACCAATGTGAAAAATTAGTCTGGTAATTTTCTTAAAATATACTGTAACGCTGTGTCGTATATATTTAATATTATTAGTTTTTAATATTGGATTCACAATTGCCTATGAAGTTTTGGGCAGAAGCGGCGAGTATTTCTGCACATATTAAGAACAGGATAAAATCTAGTGTTCATGGAAAA